TGTCTTCTTCTAGTTTTATACTCAAAAGAACGGTATAATTCGGTTTTCAAACACGTTTCCAATTCTTGAATAATTTCCAACCCAACCTGCCGTTACACCCCCATTCAAAGTTTCCAAATTACATGCCATATATTTTCCGCGTACCAAAAAACCACATATTTCTCTACGGCAATAAGAGGAAACCATATGTGGTTCATAAAATTTAGCAGTAGATTTGACCCATATGTTAATTTTACAAGTCACATTAGTAAATGCACAGACAGGGCGTCTTAGGAACGGCCATTTACCGGTATTAAAAAATCTCAGAATTAGAGACTTTTTCAAAACCAAATGATTCCCTTCCTTCGAGTATAAAATTTAGAAAAGACGTACCTTTCTACCAAATGAGCAAGAGAATGAATATTCTGATGCATGTTTTCCGAGAATTATGGCTCAATTCTTTAAGGGCATCGAAAATAAATGAGAAAAATGCATACTACATAAGTAGGCATTTTTTACAGAGTGTGTTTTCTGCATGCAGCCGGAAAGGAGTGTGTTCGAAGGCCGGCATCTTGAGGTAACTGAATCATTATAGAAATATGCTGCAGGATAATTAGTTTTGCGACCCCACTTAATTAATCTTTTCGAAACGAAAACGCCTTTCGGAATTTCGATTGACATTTCCTATGTCAGCTCACCTACTGTAGGAGGGAATGACATTGTCGACAAAGACAAGGCTGACCGGACTGACCGTTTCTAGCTTGTCAGCCATCCGCGGCCAACTACACACAACCCCCACGTATGCAACACCTTAGACTCGATTATGCGAACATTTGGTTAGAAGTCCTCGCCCTAACCACCGAGCCACGGGCTTCTTGACCTATTGTTTTGGGTAGGCCACCTTAGCAATGGTAGACGGACACTCATCAAATTCGTCCCGCCGTCCCTTGGAGCTCATTCTCGAGTTCCGTTAGCAGCCGCTCAGCAGTTAGCACTAGAGGCAAAATTACATAACTGACAATATTAGGAAAAACAAACTCGCATCCAACACAGTGAGTTCCAGAGACAATCATCGTTAGAGAACCCGGACATGCAATAACATACTATGTCAAATTTAGTTGAAGGTTAAAGTGAGGGTTTTTTAGACAAAGATGAGGTTACATTATGGCAGTTTTGACTCGCGCTTATTCTGTTTACAGATTCAAATAATTCATAGATGTGTTGGTAGATTTTGAATAATTCATATTGACCCAACTGTGAAAATCTTCCAAAACATCCATAAATTACGTGAGCCAGGTAGTCATCTGGTGGATTCCAGGTGAATTACTTAGGAAATCTTGCTTGGCAGTCAACGTACTGTATCAGATTTGGTGGATTCCAGACGTTGCAGTAGGTTGGGCGCGTAATTTGACCCAAATGTGGTTCAACTCGCGTCGTCCGGGGGGCCTCGTAGCTCAAGTGGTTAGAGCGTTGGCTGTACTAAAGCCTCCCCCTTACTGCGTGGGTTCGAATCCCACCGAGACGCCGAATTTCTCACAGTTGTTTCAATATGAAATTCAAATAAACTTTTGAAATGTTGCTCGGCTGCCAAAACAAAGCCTACACCGAAGTACTGGTGTGGCCTTTAGCTAGTGTGCCGGAAAATCACTCCCTCATTAATGGCGAACACATGCATTCACAAGATTCACTGACAGTCAGTCGAAGATCCGGAACCTTGACGAGGCTTGCGCTACACCAAAAATAAAGCGATCATTGTGATTGGCGTTCTGCGAGACCAATCGTATCGCAGCCCTATGAATATTGGCTGAGCTGGAAGCCTTTACTCAGAGCCTATGCGTAATGCTTTGTAGCGAGAGTGAAATCACCCCACAGTTTGTTCTATCAGAACCAATTAGAACAAAGTTTTGATGAATTGTGGTTACAGTGGTGCATTTTGCGGATCTGACACAAGTCGGTATTCGAGACGTTATTTCTTCGGACCGATTAGACAGAGATAACATTAACAATCTCGGACCGGGCGTGTTCTCCACTGCTGCTATCACAACAACGTTACGAATAACATAAGCCAAGTTTGAGGTGAGTCAATGAAGGCTTTATTCCGGGGACTATGAGAGACTGTCTAAGATTAGCCCAACATAATGAGTGGATATGAACTGAGTTAGAGAGTTTTAGGTCTCATATCAGTGGCGGCACATTTTAACAGCGGAGTCTGATCGATCTGTGCCCCACCAACGTAAGCGTTAGTATGATATCAATGAATGCGAGCAATCGCACTCATCCAGTGGTAGTACAACATGCACCTTACGTAATACCACGCCCTTCCTCAACTCCTTCGGTATTTTCAATGGTTTTATGGACGTCCAGCATTGACCGCATGGTCTGCGTTTATGTCTAAAGGAAATGCGACAGGCGGAACGTAACCATCTAGCTATCTGACTCAGAACATAGTCCGTAGGGCCCTGCATGCCGGCCTATCCTTTAATACCCACTTCGCGGATCCGTGTGGAATAGTGCAAGTCCTCTCCAGGTTCTGTGCGGCTACTGAACCGACGTCCTCGCTGCAAATGATTTCAATAATGTGTTACTTCGTCTGGATCACGGTGCATTTTTCCCCTTATTGCCGCTGACAGGGATCAGGTTTGCCACCATATATATATGCAATGTTAGGGGGCGCTCACCGATCGTTCATACGGAACTCACTCGTTCCGTTGTGCCTTAAGGGCTCTCTCTCGAGCCCAACCAGCAGCCGCGCAGCGGCGCATGATATATAGGCAGAATGCTATTACCGACAAAGACAAGGGAGACTGGAATGGTCATTTCTGTCAGTCTCCCTTGTCTTTGTCGGTAATAGCATTCTGCCTATATATATGTATACATCCTTGCGGATTTTATTACCCCTCTGACCCAGAAGACCCCATTCAACGCGCCAGCAGGTTACCACAAGTACACAACAACTTCTACAACGACTGCTCTCGTGGCAGGCCTTCTACGTCTGGATCAGTCTATTTTAATGAAGATACGGATAGCAGCAAGCCGGCTGATCGCGGTCAACATGCAGCTTTTTCTGCA